CTCCTCCTCCTCCTCCTCCTCCTCCTCCTTCTCCTCCTCCTCCTCCTCCTCCTCCTCCTCATCCTCATCCTCCTCCTCCTCATCCTCCTCCTCCCAGCGAGGTAGCACTGCTGTCGCGAGTGCGCACGCATCGGTCGAAAGTGGGCCGAAACAAGAAGTAGGAAGGCGATGCGAGTAGATTGCGTTTCCACGCGCGCTGGGGGAGGAGGGAAGAGGGAAAGCCATTCGAATATCAAAAAAAGAAAGCGCCTAAAGTAGGTCGGCATCCGGGAATCCCCAAAAACCTTCCTTGTAACAACCGGTGGGCATGCACGGGACGCGTCTACGCGAATTGCACCCAGCATTACGGAAGAACGTGAAGGGAGGCCGAAACCAGAAAGGGGGGGACCCCGACGAGCCAGCGTGCACGACGGACTGATTCAAGATCGCTGAATGGACCCCGCATCACTGGTGTGCAAGAGGCGCACAACCCGCAGTGGAGCGGCGCGGGGTGACGAGGCGGCGAGCGTGCGGGCCAAGGCGGCCGTGCGCCAAAGGCGAAGCAGGACGGCGCACGCAGGGCAGGCTCACACGCGTGCCCGTGGAGGCCAAGAAAGACCCGAAAGCACACCATGCATCGATCTTCCTCCTCCTCGTCCTCCTCCTCCTCCTCCTCTTCCTCGACGTCGTCGTCATCGTCATCATCGTCATCAGTATCATCAGCATTATCAGCATCAGTATCAGCATCAGCATCAGCATCAGCATCATCATCATCATCATCATCATCATCATCATCATCATCATCATCATCATCGTCATCATCACCATCACCGTCATCATCATCATCATCAGCATCATCAGCATCATCAGCATCATCAGCATCATCATCATAACAATAATAGTAATAATAATCATCATCATCATCATCGTCATCATCATCATCATCATCATCACCATCATCATCATCATCATCCTCCTCCTCCTCCTCCTCATCATCATCAGTAGCATCATCAGCAGCATCATCAGCATCACCATGAGCAGCAGCAGCAGCAGCATCGTCATCAATATCATCATCATCATCAGCAGCAGCATCATCAGCATCATCATGAGCAGCAGCAGCATCATCAGAAGCGTCAGTAACAGTATCAGTGTCATCATCATCAGCATTAGCAGCATCGTCATCATCATCATCATCATCATCATCAGCATCATCATCATCATCATCCTCATCCTCATCCTCATCCTCATCCTCATCATCATCATCATCATCATGGTCATCAGCAGCAGCAGCAGCATCATCATCATGGCCATCATCAGCATCAGTATCAGCAGCAGCATCAGCAGCATCATCAGCATCATCATGGTCAGCATCATCATCATCATCATCATCATCATCATCATCATCATGATCATCATCATCATCATCGTGGTCGTCATCATCATCATCATCATCATCATCAGCAGCATCATCATCGTCAGCATCATCATCATAAGAATCATCACCATCAGCATCATCATCATGAGCAGCATCATCATCAGCAGCATCATCATCAGCAGCAGCATCATCCGCATCATCATCAGCAACAGCATCATCATCAGCAGCATCATCATCAGGAGCATCAGCATCATCATCAGCATCGCCATCACCATCATCATGCTCAGGTCACATCATCATCATCATCATCATCATCATCATCCGTATCATCATCATCAGCATCAGCATCAGCATCAGCATCAGCAGCATCGTCATCATCATCAGCATCAAAATCATCATCATAATCAGCATCACCATCATCATCACAGTCAGCATCATCAACATCAGCATCGTCGTCATCATCATCGTCATCATCATCGCCGTCGTCATCATCATCAGCATCACCATCAACATGACCATCATCCCCAGCGCAACCATCACCGTCGACATCATAATCACCATCATCATCACAATCAGCATCATCATCATCACTAGCATCGTCACCAGCATGAGCATGAGCATGATCATTATCACCATCACCATCACCATCACCATCATCATCATCATCATCATCAGCATTAGCCTCATCATCATCATCGTCATTATCATCATCATCGGGCTATCAACACCAGCATCAACATCATCAGCACAGCAAGCATCAACCTCATCGTCATCAGCATAATCATCCGCATCAGCAATATCACCATCATCAGCAGCAGCAGCAACAGCAGTATCAGAATCATCATCGTCGTGAGCATCATCATCGTCACCATAATCATCATCATTAGCATCATCATCTGCATCAACCTCATCATCAGCATCATCAGCAGCAAAAGCGCCATCATCCTCGTCATCATCATCATCTATATCATCAGCATCGTCATCATCATCATCATCAACAACATCAAAATCATCATCATCAGCATCGTGAGCATCATCATCATCAGCATCATAATCTGCATCATATGCATCATGATAATCAGCAGCAGCACCAGCCTCACCATCATCATCATCATCATCGCATCAATATCGTCATCATCAGCATAATGGTCGTCGTCAACATCCTCATCATCATAATCAGCATCATCATCATCAGCGTCTCATCATCAGCAGCATCATCAGCGTCGTCGTCGCCGTCATCATCATCAGCAGCATCAGCATCAGCATCATCAGTAGCATCAGCATCAGCACCATCAGCATCAGCATCACCATCACCATCATCATCATCATCATCATCAGCATCACCATCATCAGCATCATCAGCATCATCAGCATCAGCATCATCACCCTCATCATCATAACAATAGTATGAATAATATTCATAATAATGTTAATAATGGTAGACCTAATAATAATACTAATAATAATAATACTAAGCATCATCATCATTATCATCATCATCATCCTCATCCTCATCCTCATCATCATCATCATCATCATCAGTACCATCATCAGCAGCATCATCAGCATCACCATGAGCAGCAGCAGCCGCATCGTCATCAATATCATCATCAGCATCATCATCAGCAGCAGCATCATCAGCATCATCATGAGCAGCATCATCATCATCATCATCATCATCAGAAGCGCCAGTAACAGTATCAGAGTCATCATCATCAGCATAAGCAGCATCGTCGTCATCATCATCATCCGCAGCAGCAGCATCATCGTCATCACCAGTAACCTCATCGACATCAGTATTATCATCATCAGCAGCAGCATCATCAGCATCATCATGGTCAACATCATCATCATCAGCATCATCATCATCATCGTCATCATCAACATCATCAGCATCATCATAATCATCATCATCATCATCATCAGCATCATCAGCAACATCATCATCAGCAGCATCATCATCAGCAGCAGCATCATCCGCATCATCATCAGCAGCAGCAGCGTCATCATCAGCAGCATCATCATAAGTAGCATCAGCATCATCATCAGCATCATCAGCATCACCATAATCAGGTCACATCATCTTCTTCATCATCCGTGTCATCATCATCAGCATCAGCATCATCAGCATCGTCATCATCATCAGCATCACACTCATCATCATAATCCTCATCATCATCAGCATCATCACCATCAGCATCATCAACATCAGCATCGTCGTCATCATCATCGTCATCATCATCGCCGTCATCATCATCAGCATGACCATCAACATGACCATCATCCCCAGCGCAACCATCACCGTCGACATCATCATCACCATCATCATCATCATCACAATCAGCATCATCATCATCACCACTAGCATCGTCACCAGCATGAGCATGAGCATCATCATTATCACCAAAATCATCATCATCATCATCATCATCATCATCATCATTAGCCTCATCATCATCATCATCATCATCATCATCATCATCATCGTCGTCATCATCATCATCATCGGGCTATCAACACCAGCATCATCATCATCAGCACAGCAAGCATCATCCTCATCATCATCATCATCAGCATCAGAAATATCACCATCATCATCAGCAGCAGCAACAGCAGTATCAGAATCATCATCGTCGTGAGCATCATCATCGTCACCATAATCATCATCATTAGCATCATCATCTGCATCAACCTCGTCATCAGCATCATCAGCAGCAAAAAGCATCATCATCATCATCATCGTCATCATCATCTATATCATCAGCATCGTCATCATCATCAGCATCAAAATCATCATCATCAGCATCGTGAGCATCATCATCATCAGCAGCAGCATCATAATCTGCATCATATTCATCATGATAATCAGCAGCAGCAACAGCCTCATCATCATCACCACCATCATCACATTAATATCATCATCAGCATAATCGTCGTCGTCAACATCCTCATCATCATAATCAGCATCATCATCATCAGCGTCTCATCATCAGCAGCATCATCAGCATCGTCGTCGCCGTCATCATCATCATCATCATCATCACCAGCATCAGCATCAGCATCATCAGTAGCATCAGCATCAGCACCATCACCATCATCATCACCATCATCATCATCATCATCATCATCATCATCATCCATCGTCCTTTTTGTTGATGGCCAGAGACTTGACCATGCAGGAGGAAGAAAGTTAATAGACACAGACTTTCGGAGCTCTGCGCGGACTTCCTGAACCGGCGCTGGAACCCCATTCTTGGCGCGCGGAGCGCGCTAGGAGCGGCGCCGAAGGCGCCCCCAGGGGGGGAGATCCAGCGCCAAAGACATCTGCGCGGAGCTCTGAGAGATCATGTTTACCGCGGGTTCATGTCATGTCGACCCTGGCGTCGGTTCCTGACACCGCGGGGATCGTTCAACCTTGAACTACCTGCCGTGTCCGAAACGTCAGGTCGTTCATCACCGACCGATTCTTGGTCGCGGGCGGCGTCCAACGTGGAACGCCAGCGGCGGGATCGCCGCCGGTCGACACGACGCGAACCTACCGTATGTAGCGTTGCCCCTCCCCTATTCTTCTAGGGCCAGGTTAGACCAGAAGATTCCTCCTCACCCACGAGCCATGACGCCCAACGGCGGCCGCCCCTCGCCGCTCATACGGGATGAGGGCGTGGAGGTCCGCCACCGCCAGGGAGGCGTCCACCTCGGTGCCCCGGGGGATTTTCCAGCGGGGGGGGTCTCTCTCGGGGGCGTCGACGGAGGCATATAGCCCAGGGGGAAACAAAACATGCATCCAGGGGCGCCGATTCGGCGAGGCTCCCGGACGACTACGTGTAATGCGCGCCCCTCGGCTCCTCGCCCCTATCGTCGCCTGCGATCCTCCCCGTTCACCCCGCCACCTCCTCCGCCTCTGGGAACTTTCAGAAGCGGGCACTTCAAATTGTTCGCATCGGGCGTTTTCGCCTGGCTTCGGGCCCTGGGTCCCGTAGGAACCCGGGGCCCGGCTTCAGGCTTCGGGCTCGGCAAAGGCCGCAGAAAGATGGGACCTAGGGCTCTGGTCGTGCTCTTTTACGATGCTGCGATATTTTCGCGACGTCGGATCTCAGGGTCTGGCAAGGAGGAGGAACAATAATAATAAACAAAAAATAAATAATAAGAAGAAGAAGAGAAGAAGAAGAAGAAGAGGAAGAAGAGGAGGAAGAACACATAAGAAGAAGACGGCACAAACGTAAAACCTCGGAGGCCTGCTCGAACTTCCTGGATCTGCGCTGGGCCCATCCCCCTGCGCGCGGAGCGTGCCAGGGGCGGTGCGCTGGAAGTGAAAACAGGGAGCGTTTAGCACCAACCCTAGAAATCCGCGGGCCTTCGAAAGTATCCACAGGAACTAGGCAGGGTCCTCCTAGAAACATTGGTGCCCGCCCCTCCTCCCCTCCCCCCGCTCTTCTGCTCCTCCCCAAAACAGGGCTGGAAGAAAAGGAAAAGGAGGGGAAGAGCAAAACGCCCTCGGAGGTCCCCAAGAGGTCTCCAAAGGTTTCCGAAGTCCCTAGAGGGATTCGGAGGCCTCGGCAAGCCCAGAAACGTCCAAAAACAAGTCAGAGACCTCGACCCTTGAGGAGAAGGTCGAGGCAGAAGAGGAAACAAATGCATAAGTGTTAAGTTCTGAAGGTCCGAGCGGACGTCCAAAGCTTTTGACGATGTACTCTTGCATTCGAGGAGGAGGAGGAGGAGGAGGAAGACCAGCAGCAGCACAAAGGAGAAGCAGCAGGAGGATTTTGAGGACGAGGCGTATCGCCCGTATGACCTGTCATAATAAAAGCAGGGGAGGATGAATGAATGAACGAATAGCTCGTGGAATCCTATCCGACGCCCCCCTTACCGGAAATTGCGCTGCCGGGCAACCAGCCTTTGAAGAGCAGAAGTCTGAGGCGGGCTACAGTCGGACCTATGCCAGAAGAACCTCCCTCAAGAACATGAGACCCTCTGCCAGCCAAAACACACAGAACATGTAAGGGTACCCTCCCCAGGATGCACAAGAGCATCCAACAAACACGAAGAACAGTAGGGTACCCTCCCCGAACCGACCTCGCTCTTATACCTCCGTGCGACTGTACTACTGACATCGTTCCGACTACCAGCTGGCGCGATCCGCGAACGCGGCACTGGCCGACGCAGGGGCAAGTGGACGAGGAGCAGCAGGAGCATCAGGAGAAGCAACAGGCTCCAGGGCCAGGCGCCGCCGAGCGCCCCGCCATCTTCCCCGCACGCGACAGCCGCACGGCCACGTCGGAGCCCACGTGGGAGTCCAGCCTGCCCCCCCGACGACAGCGCCCGAATGGCGAATGACAGCGACCGGCGACGACGACCCCCCCCCCACCACGACAACGACGACGGCAACGCGGCGACGACGACGACGGACGGCGACGGCGGTACAGTCGGGACTGATTGGAGAGGACACGCGAGAGGACACAAGACCCTTCCGAGGGCCACATTGCCATAGGAATGTAAGAAGACGTGGGTCGCGAAGCTCAGGACACAAGGGTACCCTTGATTTGGCAAGGTCGCCCTACTAATCAGTCTCGACTGTAAGCCTGCCTCAGACGGAGGAGGCGGCGGCGGCGACCCGCGACCCGTGGCGGCGGCGACGGCGACCCGCGGCAACGACGGCAGCGGCGGCCACGGCCACGTCGGAGCCCACGTGCCTGGCGGCGACGGCGACGACGGGGCCAGAGGCAGGGGCAGGGAGAGCAGGGAGAGGAAGAGAAGGGGCCCTGGGATACACAGATAGATAGGCACAAGTAACAGGATTCCCTACATGTTCCCATGTTCTCTGGAACATGTACGATGAATTGTGTCTGTTTTTTGTTCCCCCTCAGAAAGCGAGGAGAACGTCTGGAGAAATTCGGGCACACGGGTCCCGCGTCGCCGTGGGCTTGCACACCTACGGGAGAGAAGCAATCCCAGGATTGAATGTCCAACGTCCTACCCGCGATCTTCTCCTTGTCATTGAGTCTTGCACCGACCACGCATACAGAGTGTGGGAATATTTTTCCCAACTCGAGTGGGAAACAAAATGACGTAGGCCGAGCCGGGAAAGCGCCGATGGCCCCACATACACCTGACACTTTTGAATGTTGGATATTGTTCTGGCCCCCTTAGGAGACGACTCCGTACAGAAAGCTCGCAGCTGCTGTGGTGCCGCGATTACCACTCGGCATTTCCTCGTGGAGTGCGAGTTTGCTGGAGATTCGTCGAAGACACCTGGCAGGACATTTCGGAATCTTTGGCGGTCGCCGGAGACCCTCTTCCTGACTTCGATATCGAGCCAAAGCGTCCATGGGTTTCATCGACAACTGCAAATCTTGTGCGGCGGCGGGCCCTGGCCAAAGCAGCGGGCGTTGATGGCTTGAAGAGGCAATGGCATGAGGAACTGCGGAGAGCGGCGAAACAAGATGAAAGCAAATATCGTCACTGCATGGTCGCAGATGGATATTGGGAAGGAGTGCGCAATTTACGGCGGCCACAGGGCCGCAAACAAGGCCGCCTAGGAGATACTTCTCGGTTTTCGGTGAGCAGTGACGGAAGGGCAGACGACATGGGGACATACTTCGAAGCACTCCAGTGAAAGGAGCGCGAAGCAGCCCCGCTCGTTGCGCCGCCGCTTGGGGCACCTCTGGCTATCGATGCAGACGACTTCACGCGAGAGGAAGTGAAAGAAAATCTGGGAAAACTGAAAACTGGAAGGCGCCTGGCCCTGACTACGTGCCACCGGAGAACTGGAACGCATTAGCTGGCTCGCCTGAGGCCGTTGGTCAAATTACGTACTCTATTCATTACCATGGCAGCTGAAGAGCAAACCGAAAGAGTGGCATAAGTCTCGTATCACGACGATTTTCGAAATAAGCCGGACGAACGATCGCTCGAACTACAGGCCGATCGGCTTGTTGTCAATCGGCTACAACATATTCACGTCTTCGCTGCCCGCGCGTCTGGTGTGAGGGGCGCGGGAGAGCGACTCTCAAGCACGTGAATCGGCTTTGGCCCTGGGTAAAGCACGCAAGACGCCATATTTGTCTCCCGGAGGCGAGTAGAACTAGCCCATGCTGAAAAAACTGTGAAGTTGCACGTGTTAGCATTGGACTATTCGCCTCAATGATCCCGCGGCAATGCTACACGGACTCCGCCGGTTCGAGTTTTCAGACCACGTCCTCTCCATGACCGACACGATCTATCACGACAAACAGTTTCAAGTCAGCGACTGTGGAACAACTTCCACGCCGAAGCCCCGAGCTGCGGGCATCTTTTAAGGTCGCCCGCTGTCACCATTCCTGGTCGTCATGATCATGACTATCATCAACCAAGATGCTAGAGACGTGTTCACAAGCAAATCGTGGACTCTGGAATGAGGGCGAACTCTCTGCTCTGTTGTATGCGAACGACATGCTCCTTATGAGCATAAGTGCAACAAGCGTGGAAAAAAAAAACTACTCGATGCAATTCCGCGAGCAGGGAAGTCGTACGGCATGGACCTCCACGCGGACAACTGTCAGCTCATGGCCATCTAGCCGAACACCGAGATCAAGGATTCCGAAGGGTCTGTCATCGAAACGCAAGAAGACATGGTGTACTTGGGGGTTCTCTTTACTGACAACGTGTACCATGCCCAGGAACTAACGAGGAGGATTGGGAACGCGCGCGGTGATTACTGGACGCTTGCAAACATGTGAATTCGTTATGGATTGAGCCGACCACGCCAAAACATTATATACACAATAGCTGCTCTCGGCAAGCTCACGCACGGCCTCGCGACTACGTGGTTCAATGTTGCAAAACGTCAACGTTTGAACGGTTTCCATTGCAGATGCCTCGGGGAGATATGGGGTGTAGCGCCCGCATTTGTCTAGAATTCGCAACGCTGCTGTTTCGCACCTCGCGCAGCATCGGCCACTGACGCTGACCCTAGCAAAGCAGCAGTTGTTGCTTCTAGGCAAAGCGGCCCGCGCCCCCAAGGGAAGCCTCCTCCGCAAATCAACGTCCTGCCCGCGGTACGTCAGAAAAGCAGAGCGTCCGAAGACAGAACGGATATCACACGTGTGTTGCATGGCACCGTGTATGAGAGGGACCGCAGCAACCCTTGGGCGACTGACCAAATCAGCCGCCGACTGGAGGTCATGTGTGCACAATGCCGGTTTGCAGTATGACATTTACGTTCCCCTCTCGCCTTTCCTTCTGCTCCTCCCCCCTCCCTCCTCACCCCCTCTGTCCAATCATATTTGAAAAGGGAAAAATATAGAGTTTCTACCTGAGATCCAACGAAGCCACATTTGGAGGGCTCGCGGGCTCACGCGCATGGGAAGTCAATTTTCCGCGCACCCCCAAGTATGTTGCTGGCGCCAGGGCACTGCCAAAACAACTTCGGACACAATGGCGCCCGTCACCCCCGCTGGAGCGCGTCTTTACATGTTCGGCGATGACGGGCGTCATGGGGGGGGGCGGGGGGAAGTATGACGAAACGCCCCCCCCCAACCGCGCGGCTCCAGCACCACAGCCGCGCCCGCGCGCACTCCAACGATGAGCAACGAGCGACGAGCGACGAACGACGAGCGACAAGCGACGACGACGACGACGACGTCGACGACGCGAGCCGCATTCAGGTTGCGATCTGCCCCACAGCGCCTGTGTACACCACAATGTTCGCGTGCATCACAGCGCGCGTGTACACCACAGCGCCTGCGTACACCGCAACGGCCGCGTGCCAGTGCTTGCGTGCACCACAACGCCAGTGTACACCACTGCGAATGTGTACACCGCAGTAACTATGTGCAACGCAGCGCCCGCGCATACCACAATGCTTGTTCTCTTGGGAAGGGGGGGGGGGAGGGGGCAGAGCCCCAGGAGGACGGCGGTGACCGACGCCCCCTGCGCGCGCAACGGGCGCACGGAGGCCCGCTGCCGCCGACGACGCATGGGCCGTCGCGGCGCGGGGCGGCCGCCGACGACGCGCGGGCCGCCACGGCGAGAGGGCACGCTGGTGGCGCCGAAGGGCCACGCGGCTAGCACGGCCGCGCGGCACGGGCGGTGCCTCGCCAGCCGCCGCGCCGTCCGCGAGGCGCGCCGAACTGAACTGGCGGGGTGCTGACACCTACGACTGCGGTCAGCCCGAAGACGTCGCACGCGCCCCGCCTCGCCCGCGCGCGGGGCGCACAGGGCCGCCAAAGCCTTGATACTGCCGAGGCGCTCCCTGGCGTAGGCGCGGCACCTCGCGCACAGCACGTGGCCGAGGCGCGCTGCGCGATGTGGCCGAGGGCATCGCGCGCCCGCGGCGGGCCGTCTTCGGCGCTGGTCTCGCCACCAACAGGCACCACTGGGCCCGCCGACGGCTGCGCCGCGGCGGGCCGCGGGGATCGGGACCTCGCAGCTGCCACCAAGGACCGCTCGCTGGAGGGCGCGGCTCCGACCAGGCCGATGGCCGCGGCGGCGCCCTGGGTCGCGGCGGCCCCCGCTGGGGCAGCCAGCGGGCCCCCCCGAGATCGACGCTGGGCCCTGGCCGCGGGCCGAACCATCAGCGCCTGCGGTCGCGGGCCCCTGCCCCGCCGCAGTCGGCGCGGGTTCCTGGCCCCGATCTGGCCCGAGCACTCCTGGCTGGCTGTCGGCGCCGTCGGCGGCTGCAGCGGCTGCCGCCGCCGCCGCCGCGAGGGCCACGCCTGCTGCCGCACTGGGCGGCGCCGCCTTCTCGGCCACCGGGGCGACCTTGAAAACGCGCGGGGGCCGATGCAACGCCTGCCTCGACCTCGTGGTTCGCGCGGTGCGCAGGCACGCCGCGCAGCGCCAGGGGCCCGAGCCGAGCGCGCCGAACGCGTGCTCGGCGAGGAGGAGGCGGTCCTCGTTGGCCTCGTCGCGGGCCACGTAGCCGCGGATGCGGTCGAGCCTGTCGGCGGCCGCGGGGGCGCCGGCCGCGGCCGCCCAGCGCGCGACGCCGTCGACGAAGAGCTGGGCACGCAGCTGCCTCTGTCTCTCGGCCGCGGGGGCGCGCAGGAGGTGGGCGATCCCGCCAACGACGCGGTCGGCCTCGCAGTTGCCGCGGCGCTGCTTCCACGCGAGGGCGCCGCGGGCGACGCGGGCGGCGGCGGCGCGGCCCTTGATCTTCACGATCGCGAGCCCCGCGGGGCCAACGCCGCCGAAGTCGCGGAGCGCCTTCCACACCTGCCGCCAGAGGCGCCCCCACGCGGAGGCCGCCAGCGTCGCGCGGGCCTCGCTCCGTAGGTCGATGCCGTCGAAGACGAAGCTGGCGTCGCAGTGCAGCTCAATGG